CTGGTCTCTGAATAATTTTTGCTTTGACTGTATATCCTTCTGTTATTTTCACACTTAATTATGTCCATTAAAATGTATTTTACATATTTTTGTTACTTTCACTGTTCATTTTTTCTCTCTCTATGGTAGCCTATATCATCTTTAATTTAATAGCATTAGAGCTGTTCCATTGCAGCGGCTTAGTACTGTAATCACGCAATTTGCTGTAAAAATGCAGGGAACCACTCGCTATAAATCTCCTGTGATATTTTCATAAATACAAGTCGCGTTTTTTCATCTGAAACGTGCAGTGATTTATTTTTCCAAAGCCACTCATATAATGCAGAAACACTCATGAAGCAAGCAAAATTCACACCGCGCACACGTATTTGTAGGCTACTGGTGCAGAATGAGAGGGGCAAGTACAGTACAGCCTAGTGCATTTCACACAGGCTGTTAGTTTCACTTTAGCCAGAAAGTCATGTATGCTTAAGGGTGAAAAAAAATGACATTTATAGTGAATGCCCCTACAAATTGTCTTATATTTACGATTTAATCCAAATGATGCGTGCTAAGTGAGCGAACATCAAGATCACACAACAGAAGTGTGCATGCTCTCTCTCTCTCTCTCTCCCTACCATTAAGTAACTTGTGCATTGTTTTACTTACTTCGTTTTGACATATCCGACCGAACTACAAACTTTCCAGTGATGTCTGTGAGAAAGGGCTATTCACTCGCGCATCCGCGCCGCCACGCTCTCAATCCACTCAGCATGATTTGTCACTCAGACTCTGGCGCTGATCAGCTATACAGGCATTAATACTGAATGTTTTATATTCATTGCATACATATACTACGTAGACATCTTTAATCTCTAATAACTCCATTCTGCTGTCTGTTGTCAGTGTTTCTTTGTCTGAATATGGCACTTATCACATGCTGTGTGGTATCGGCGTTTGGTATTGGGGCATTTTAACGAGTACGAGTATGAGTACGAGTACAGGAGCTCAGTATCAGTATCGGTGCATCCCTAGTAATTATGGATTATAATGACTTATACTGTCTTTTTACGCATTGCGTTGCATCGCGCCGCTTAAACATAAAACCATGTCTGCATTTGTGATTGGAGAAATGACAAACAACTAGCGCTACTCTACACTGCTCAAAACTCACGTTTGAATCATCAGTGGCAAATTCTTAAAATATGAAAACGTACTTACAGGTTGTGAGTCGGAACAGCCGGCATTGTAGTCTACTCTCCCAGAATCAGGAAACAGTCCTCCATAAAATGTCCTGCACACATCTGAATATTTGGGTTGAACTGTTCTGGAACAGTGTTGTAAATACAACTTAACCACTGATTTCTAGTCGTGTCCTCTTTTGGAAGGCCAAACAAAGTATTTTCACTTTCGCAACGAAACACACAGCGTCAAGACACAGAGCTTGCTCCAGTTTCGGCTCCAGACCCAGAGCTCGCTCCAGTGCCCGCTCCTCATAAGCACTTTCTAGAGCGCTATCTAGTGATCCGCTCCTCCAGAGCACCCCCCAGGATTCCTAGATTTCCCCAAGAAAATTTGGGGGGGCTATACCCATGGCCGAGCCAGCTAAGGCCATGGCCTCCAGAGTCCCCTGATCCGCCATTGGGCTCCTGAGTCCCCTGCTCCGCCATGGCTCCCGGAGCTCCCTGATCCACTCTGGAGGCTCTCCTTGTCTCCGCCCTGTTCCTGTCCTGCACCAGCCTCCAGGGTGCCCGCCCCCCTCCCCGATGTTACTGTTATGGCAAGGGGTGCTCCTTCCGGGAGGGGGGGGGGCGATCTGTCACATGTTTATGTTTCCATGCCCCCATTTGGTCTTCCTGTTCCTGCTCCCTGATTGTTTATTATTTGTCCCAGGTGTTTCCTATGTTTATGGTTTCCATTGATCCCAGGTGTGTCTTGTCATCCCATCATCCTGTTCAGTGTATTAAAAGAGTGTTCTGTTCCCTGTTGGTTTGTCCGGTATTGTTTATGTCAACTCCTTGTGCTACGTGTGATTCCCCGCGATATAAATAAATTCTTTGGTTTTGTACTCCTGGTCTCCTCGTTCCGTAGCAACCCGTGACACCTAGAGATTACACCAGCTCCAGCATGGATCCAACCTAATAGAAAGACTTCAGATGACCCAACACCTTTGAAGAGAAGATGCTGACCCCTACGAGGACCCCAGATGATGCCAACTTGAATCGATATGCACAACTGGCAAATTTCTCTATATTTTAATCATTATGATCACACTTGTAATAATAGCTTCTGCCCAAAATTAATTCATATTACCTATCTGTATGATTATATTATCTTGAACTGTTCATTGGTGAAATGAACATTACTTGAACACATTCACTTCGGATAACAGATCACTCTAAATTGTAATGTAGACATGCATTTTCTGTAAAGCTGGTTTGAAACAATGCATATTGTGAAAAGTGTTATACAAATACATTTGATTTTAATTGAATATCTGACATGGAATGGTTGTAATGTCTGCCAAGTTAGCAAATGGCTCACAATTAGGGTTGCAAATGATTATTGCATTATATATGACATTCTTGTATAGTATAGAAAGAGGTCTGTCAACAGAAAAGTAGAAAAAAGTGCATAAAACAAATATGAAATGAAATTGCATAAAACAATTAAATTAGCATATAACATGAAATGAAATAAAATAATGAACTGAAATTGGCCTATAACAGATATTTCCATGCTGAAAAAACACACAATGACAAAAACAGTGTTTATTTTGATGGCATTGGCCAAGTCATTGACACAATAACAAGGTTTTGAAGCATGAATTAAATGTTTTAGGTTAGTCACTACATTTTGCAATAAAGATCGGATGTTTCAGCAAACAGTTGTGACAATTGCACTTAACATTTTCTAAACTGTAAGACGGTTTAAAAAAAATGTGCCACACCAATTGAGAAAAAAGGTAAATATATGTTAAATAAATATTTAATTGTAGTCACTGTTAATATTATAAACTGTAAATGACAATAGTTATAGTATAGTCCTCCATGACTGACTCCGTAAGGTAAAAAGATTTCTGAAAATGAACATTGAGGCTAAAAGAATATTCATTGATTTAGTGATTTCTGCCTCGTATAAAGGTCACAACCCCAGAATTATGCATTATTCAGATGGGGGACAAAGAGAAAACAATAAAATACAAGAAAGCCTGACCACATGGCTTGTTTTCATAGAGCTCAAGGGAAAGCCAAATCTGTTTGTCTTAGGCTTATTTTCAATAATCATATTGTAAATAACATACTGATACATGACTCCATTTTTCCATTTTCTTCAGTGACAACACTTTCTTCACCTCAATCTTAAACGCACCTCCATGACCATTTCCCTTTCTGTGCATACATTTACTCACAGCATGTCTTTGATGAAATGCTGTCTGATCATTTGAAAGTGCTCATCCAATTTTTACATGTTCTCCTGAGTGCTCGTGGTGTGGCCCATGGTGGGACTCAATGCTGTGGCTATTCTACGAGTGGCCCTTGGTGTCACAAAATACATTACCAGCCTTGTTTACCCTGTGAGTGAACACAATTGCTATAATTATTATCATTTTCATCAAAGCCGGTGAAAGCTTATGCAGTATTAGTGTGATGCTGTAAAATTACAGGGGACACACTGAGAAGGGCTTTAATATTAAAATGGCTCTTATTGGAGAGGAATGACTGCTGCCTATTTTTCACTCCATTTCTTCACTTTTTCTATAAATCTCTGCCCTATAAAATTTGAACAGAAATACAGGGACTACTTACCTAATTTAATTGAGTAGATGAAAGCTATATATTAAATAATAAACAGATCTGTTTTTGGTTCTCGAATCTGATTAGTCAAGCCATTTTATAGGTGTTCTGATATCCATTGAAACCGCTCTTAGACTATTCACTGTTTCTCACAAATCTGCTTGTCTATATTTGTTCGAGACAGACTGTCAGTCTGTGCATTAGTCCTGGGGCTTTTCCAATAACTCTTTCTGCAAGTTACATCAATTCACAGCACGTGGTGACAAATAACTTAAGACTGAGTCACTGAATCATTTATTTGACCAATTCATTCAAAACACTGATTCTTTCAGGAACATAAAGTAACTGTATTTATGAGTCAGTTATTTAATCATTTACTCTACCAATTCATTTTAAAAGGCTTATTGATTAAAAAACGAAACACCACTGTGTACTGCTGCTTAGCAACAGGCAAATGTATATTTTCTTAGTTTATTTAACAAAATTAGATAAAGTAACTGGCAAGGGTTTCTGAATTCTACATTGTGACGGATTGGCTGCCTCCCCCCTAATTATCATCAACACCCCATCCCGTAAACATCGCCCTTCACCAGATTCCCGACAGGAGTGGGTGTGTGAGAGAGGAGGGACACAAAAACAGTCAGGACTGGGCGGCATGTGATGAGGCACACCTGAAGTGAATGGAGCCTTGTCACCGCCGCTGTTAAATACTAAGCGTGCCTCTCCTTGAATAAAAGCCTCTCCGAGGCCTGACACCACAAACTGTGTCTGTTGTTTGCTCCTCCCGCCACAACATATAGCCCCTTTAAAGCAATAATCCTCAAGAAGAGGTGTTTTACAGTGAATTTAGAACAGCTAAGGGGTGTTAGGCACATTGTGGAGCTGCTCTAAATTCACAGTTCTAAATTTACTGTAAACCACGTTTCAAGCAATGTCTGCCTATGCATTACCGTCAACGCATGCATTCTCATTCAAACTCACTTGTCAGGAAGGCACAAGGTAAGCATAAAAGACGCTGTAAGAAGATGACGTTAGAGGTCTTCTGGGCGCAGTGCCATGCACACATCCGAAGCGCACACAAAGAGACAGCCACATCAGACAGCGTGCGAATACTGAGTTAAGGTTTCTTCCGCTGTTTTTGTGCTTGGATGAACAAATACAGACAAAATTACACCAAAATGCACATCTTGACGAATATCCTAGTAAACACAGTTGGTTATGTAAACAACTGAGAAAGAAAATGTCTCGGGTTACACATGTAACCATGGTTTCCTGAGAATAGGGAACGAGAAGTTGAATCCCCCAGGGGCCGCTATGGAGAATGCCTCCAGCATGACCGGTGTCTGAAGCTTGAATATAAAAACGACAGTGAACTTGATATTGGCAGCCTATGACGTAATTAATGGAGCAGCTGTGGGTATAAAAGGGCATCTGTACATCATCCTCTTCTTTGTCTGAAGGAGACGCAGGCAGGAATGCCCAAAGCATGGCCAAGGGACACAGCATGTCTTGGTTATATTTTAATTTATTTTCTGCTATTGCTTGTAATTTGGTTATTTGTAGAACAGATTCTTAGCACTGAGCCCATAGTAGCAGCCAAAAAAAAAAAGTCTCAATTAAAAAAAAACAACATTTTTCTACATTAATACATTTTTCTACAACTGAAGTACCTTGTTTTTGTTGTTTCCTAATGAGGATTTACACTATTTTACACATTGCACGTTTAAGCACAGAAGCCTGAAAGACTTTGACTGTTGTAATGTCATAAGATTACTGATCTCATGTGTGACTTGATTTTTAATTTTTTTCCCAATTATTTATTTTTCTTTATTATTTAAATAAAAGTGTAGGCCTATTTTTTGTTGTGAATGACCCAATTGAGGTACAGGATGTGGAAATTTCAGATAAAGGTTCATGCTATATATTCTGGTTGCACTTGAGTTATTAAAAATGTAGATGGTTGTTAAAAATAATATCATAACGTAGATAAATCGATTGGTATCTGCAAATATCATATCACTTCTTTACTTACAAGATCAATACTAGATACTAGTTATCGATTCTAGTCATAGATCCTCTTCTGAATATTATTAATTCATCAATGTCTTTAGGATATGTCCCTAAAACCTTCAAACTGGCTGTTATTAAGCCTCTCACTAAAAAAAAAAAAAACCAACTAGTTAATTACAAATGGATCTCAAATCTCCCTTTTCGGTCAAAAATACTAGAAAAGGCAGTATCCTCTCAGCTATGTTCCTTCTTGGTGAGAAATGGTATCTAGACAAGGGAAGACTTGGCTAAGACTATGAAATTTCAAGTAGGCTCCGTAACGTAGCTATCACAACTAGCGATATGCGCATACAATACTCAGAGTTACAAATGTGTAAAATGTCATTGTTAACTGTGTCTGATATGACAACTACACTAGTCATAGTCCCATGAAATGATAAATAGCAAATAACACATTGTTACGGGGCTGACGAGACGTGAGACGTGCGGATCAATGTGCAAAGCTTTATTCTGGAGACGTGGTCAGAAACAGGTATAAATTAAATATTGGCAAACAGGTATGTAAGAGACAAGGCATGGGCAGTCCGGTAAACAGTGAGGGTCAATCGACGACGAACAAGGTAATAGGGCGAGACGAGAGAGGTAATCCAAAGTGCACAGGCAAAGATCAGAACACGAGGAATCAGACAAGGCAAGGCTAGGCTAAGACTATGAAATTTCAAGTAGGCTCCGTAACGTAGCTATCACAACTAGCGATATGCGCATACAATACTCGGCCATTTGAAAGGGATCTGAGTGAGTGTTATATAGTGAATGTGTGATTGGTTACAGCTGTGTGCAATCAGTGCTGTGTGCAATCAGTGCAATGGATGATGAGATATGTAGTCCGGGATGACATGCAACAGTTTGTGTCGTGCGAGAGTCAATGTAATGGAAGGCTAACCTTTGGTGGAGAGTGAATTGAAGTTCATAGACCGGATTTGTGACATAGCCGCCCCCCCTTCCAGACGTTCCAAACATTTTATGATTCAGGAGGGTGGTGGAGCGGAGGTGGAGCAGGGGGAGGGATGGAAAGCCAGGTCCACGTGGAAGTGGAGAGACCGGGGACTGAGGCAGGACCGGCGGAGCAGAGAGCCAGGGCGGAGCCGGCAGTACAGGTGGAGCTGTAAGACCACTACAGCAGAGCAGATGGGACCCGAAGATCCCCCCCAGTGGAGCAGAAGACCACCAGAGCCAGACAGCAGACCACCACGGTGGAGCAGAAGACCACCAGAGCCAGACAGTAGACCACCACGGCGGAGCAGAGGACCACCACGGCAGAGCAGACGGAGCCGGGACCCATGGCAGAGACTGGGGCCTAGGGAAAACCGAGACAGCCAATGCAGGCAGTGCATTCATGGTTTCACGGGCCAAGGCAGGGAACACAAGATCATTGATTGAAACTAGATTGGCAGACAGTTCAGTGATTGAAGATGGACTGACAGATGGTTCAAACTCAGACACAACAGAAGCATTTAGACAGACAGGTCAGGTTTAGATTCCTTGACAGAAACAGGCAAGACAGACAGTTCAAAATCAGACACATTGACAGAAACTGAATAGATAGACGGTTCACTAATGTTCTCTTTGGCAACGACAGCGTTAGCAGGGCCTACAAAAAGTTAATTTAGGGGTTCAATGACCGGTTCAGAGCAGGACAAAAGTTCAAAAGCGGCCATTACAGGACAGGCTGAGAGTTCACAGACTGCTTCCATAGCCGTTTCAAGACAGGCTGAGAGTTCATAGACGGCCTTCATAGCAGTGTCAGAACAGGACGAAGATTCGCAGACGGCCTCCATAGCCGTTACAGGACAGGTAGCGAGTTCAAAAATGGTCTCCTTGGCCGGAACAGAACAGGACGAGAGTTCATAAGTGGATACCACTGACACCTCTGGAGGTTCTACAGTAGGACCATCAGGATACGGGGAGAGTTCAATAATGGTTCCTTCGACTGTGACATGACAGGCTGAAGGTGCATTGCAGGGCGCCACCACCGCGCAAGGAGCTGAAACGAGCACCACCACCACCTCGGAAGGTTCTGCAGCATGGGCCGCCACCTCTGGAGAAGCTACAGCGGGCGCCATCGCCTCGGGGAACATGGCAGTGTGCACCACTACCTCGAGAGGATCTGCAGCATTAGCCGACACCTCGGGAGACATCACAGTGGTCGTCACCGTCTCTAATGTTTCAGTGGTGGTGTACGCAGCCCAAATACACCATAAAGCGATCCCCATTGTGGGAAGCGCTACAGACAGGGGAAAAGTTCAGGAACTGGAGGGCTTAAGAGTGCTGGTTTAGGGATACCAGCTGCACGTGCCGACAACAGCGGTGGGTCCTCCACACTGGATGCCAGTCTGGGATACAGAAGAAATGACATCGGACTTCTAGGTGCAGGAGACAGGAAGTAACCTCTGGATCACCAGCTGTGATGTGACGTGACTCTGGATGATCAGCTGTGATGCAACTCTGGATGATCAGCCGAGATGTGTCGAGGCTCTGGCAAATCAGCTGATACTTGACTTGCTCAGGATTGGAAACTGTGACTTGACTTGACTCATGAAGATCTGTTGTGACTTGACTTGACTCATGACGATCAACTGTGAGTTGATTTGATTCAGGATTGGCAGCGGTGACATAACGGTGTGCTGTTGTGTCCGCCATTTTGCGATCAGGCTCCTCTGTCACCGCCATTTTGTGAGCGTGATCTAGTGCGGGGACCATTACACGAGTGAGAGCAGGGTCGCGTTCCTCCGCGATACCCACAGTGGACACTGAACCAACAGACAATAGAGCATAATCCATAAAATTACTTAGAGAAGAACAGGGACCTTCATGGATTAATGGTGTCTTCAAAGGTTCATTGATACCCTCGCAAAAAAAGTCTAACAGTACACAGTCCGGCAGATCTGAATAATGAGCAATGGCTACATACTCTTGAATATAGCCTTCCAGCGATCGTGTGCCGTCTAAGGGCTAACAATATCCTTGCCGTATCCATACCTGGCCAATGTCCATCCGAGAAGCCGCTGGATCCTTGTGTGGCTGAGTATTCGGTTACGGAGCTGACGAGACGTGAGACGTGCGGATCCATGTGCAAAGCTTTATTCTGGAGACGTGGTCAGAAACAGGCATAAAATCAAACATTGGCAAACAGGTATGTAAGAGACAAGGCATGGGGAGTCCGGTAAACAGTGAGGGTCAATCGACGACGAACTTAAACCAATATTGCGAGACTAGAGAGATAATCCAGGTACAAAGCAAAGGTCCAGGCAGGGATATGTAGTCCGGGATGATATGCAACAGTTTGTGTAGTGCGAGAGTCAATGTAATGGAAGGGTGACCTCTGGTGGTGAGTGAATTGAAGTTCATAGACCGGATTCGTGACACACATACTGAATTTCCGTTATGTTTTGTTTATTTTTAGTAAAATCAAATGTGACCTTGTTATTTGTAAGTATGGCAATGTCTGCCCCGAGACCGCACAAAACACACCCTGTGGCGATTCCTGGATGTCATAATCTCCATACGATTATCTCAACAAAATGATCTCGTGGCCACAACATATCACGCTCCCTCAAGTTAATATGACGTTCCCAGTGGCGGCTCCAGGATTTTTTGTTAGGGGTGCTAAGGAGGGGCTTAACAGTTCAGAAGGGGTGCTAAAGCTAATTAAATTGAGTGAAAGTAATGAACGTCTTCAGCTATCTAAATAGCATGCAAAATCAGCCACCTTGTGTTTTTTTTTTTTATATATACACAGCAGCTTCGAAAAAGGCAAAAAAAAAAATTCTGTGCTATTAAACTTCTCATATGCCACTGTTATTAGTAATATAACTTCTAATGCCAACTGCCAAATATGACACTTCCAAAATTAATACAATTTACGAACGCACATAGAAAAGAGAGAAAGTAGGGATTTTTTTTTTCATGGTTTTATTTTCTTTTTTTATTTTTTGATCTATTTAGTCTTTTTTTTTACCATCAAGTGTCAGTCACTCTAAACGCCAACTGGCAGAAAAACATGGTCAATTCTAACAATTTTTTACAATAGATAAAGTGCAGACAATTTATACAACTATTTCCACACAGTGGCATAGCGGATGGGCACGCACTGCGGGAGGGGCCCCGCGATAAACTCCCCGTGCTGAGATGCGTCGTATCATGTGTCGATGATAGCCAGAGATAGTCAAAAGCATCAAAAATTGGCAATATTAAGAGGATTTAGCATTTCCAATTAATGTAGGTGTATTACATTCTTCTTATTATTAGGCCTATTATTATTATTAGGTTAATTTTATTATTAAATTACATGAAATTATTGCCCCGCAATAGCTGTGAGGATAATTAAAATTTAGGCTATTAGCTTACTCATCATTAAAGATGCTTTTAAAAAGGTTTATTTATTTATTTATTTTTTTAAACAGGGCTATTGATTTATACAATGAAGTATAGGCCTATAATTAAAATTATAAATACTGCAGTCATCAATGAAAATTAAGAGCAGCTTTATTTCGTGCACACCGATTTTCAAAAATGACCCGTTTAATGCTAAATAGATTTCTTCTCATGTTTTTCACTATATGGGCCACAAGAGAAATATTACGGGAATAATTTAAGACGGTTATATACCATTATCAGCATATCAGAATCAGAAGAGCTTTATTACCAAGTATGTTTACACACACAAGGAATTTGACTTGACGACAGGAGCTTCCAGTGTAGAAGAAAGTACAAACATAGTAATAAGGGATGTAATATAAAACTAATATAATAAAAAAAAGAAATTTAATAATGTACTATATACAGAAATAGAAGTATAGGAAAAAATTTAATTGTTTCGATAAATGTACAGATATGTTTATTAGTGTGCAGATATGTTATTTACAAAGTGTGCAGTTTAATATAAATATACTATGTTAGTTGTGATGGACGATGTATAATTATGAAAGATTAATTGTTAAGACTGAATATAGCCTGTGGGAAAAAACTGTTCTTGTGCCTGGCTGTTCTGGTGGTCAGTGCTCTGTAGCGCCGACCAGAAGGCAACAGTTCGAAGAGAGAGTGGGCTGGGTGTGAGGGGTCCAAGGTGATTTTTTT